AAATGCTGGTTCCATTAGTCTTTTCTCACTGCACCATGGCAGGAACCTCCCACCCTATGTGGATAAGGCTCGACAGGCTCTCTGTCCCCAAACAAGCCCAGTTGGTCCCTGTGCCTGGTGACAGCATTGACGTCAGCCCTTGTGGCAGAGGAATTAGTTGAAGCCCAAAGGGAAAAAGAAACCAAAAAAAGAAAAATTCAATCCAGCAAGACCAAAGCCATTTCTTTTTATTTTGTGAGCTCTCAGCAGCTGTTAAGCTTTGCTGGATTTCGATAGTAAGAAAGTTTCCAAGAATAGAACAGTGCAATGTCAGAGTTAATGGGATCACAGCAATAAAATAGCTCTACGACTGAGAAATCTGATGGTATTAAGTTGACGTGGAAGTTGCTTTGTACCCTGCACACAGAGTGGACTCCCTGCTTGCCCTCCCATCCTGAGTGTGCCCCCAACACACCTATTCTGAGGGGAAAGCAACCACTTCTGAAGTGGTAAATGCTTTGCAAAACAGCTGTCTTCAGGCCGGGCACGGTGGCTCAGGTGCTTTGGGAGGCCAAGGCAGGTAGACTACCTGAGGTCAGGAGTTCAAGACGAGCCTGGCCAACATGGTGAAACCCTGTATCTATTAAAAATACAAAAAGTTAGCCAGGTGTGGTTGCCACTGCCTGTAATCCCAGCTACTCAGGAGGCTGATACAGGAGAATCACTTGAACCCAGGAGGTGGAGGTTGCAGTGAGCCAAGATCGTATCATTGTACTCTAGCCTGGGCAACAAGAGCAAAACAAAACAAAAACAAAAAAAGGGTGTTTTTAAAGAAATGTTCTTTATCCAGACCAGGGAAAACAAAAGGTTTAATCAAAGGCCTAGCTTTGTTAGGTGTATCTTATTGCAATTTCTTTAAAATGTCCAGCTTCTTGCTAACAGATGAAAAAAGGGAAAGGGTGTCTGAGTTCTCTGAATTCTCTCGCCTGAGACTTGCCCTCACCTCCATCCCATATCCTGCATCTCTGTGGCAGTTTTCTTTCTATTCCTCATCTGAGGATGACAGAGCCATTCCCCCTTCATCAGTGCCTCCCCATCCACAGAGCAATGAATGAAACTACAGCAGCTACCAGTGTTTCTTCAAAAGGGACTTCCCCCACAAATGTAAGACCTCGAAAGAAATCCTATACACAGAAACGAGAATTGCCACCATATTTGATGACTCAGCAAACATTTCTTTCTCTGTCTCTCTTTGGAGGGTGTCATTCGTTTAGAATTGCAAAGAGTTCCTAAAGGAAAGACAACATTTGAGAAACCCTGGATGCAGTCAACTCAGACATTGTTAACTGTGGAACTCTGAGTCATTTGATGTTCTCTCCTGAACAACCATGAGAACACCAGAATGGAAGCTGGTGGCTGGGAATGCCATAGAACCCATCTGGGATTCCTTCCCTCTTTTCCTTTATGCATTCTCAACTTCCTTCCCTCCATTGTCCTCTACCTGCACTGTCACCATTTCTCAGCAAAAAAAAAAAAACAAAATTATGCAGAATGGAGGAAGGGAGAGGGCACTATTATGTGTGCACCAGTGTCCTCATGGGGCTATGGCCTCCTGCTGGCAGTTCTGTGTAACCATGGCCACCTAGACACAGAAGCACTGAGCAGTGTACACATGCAGATTCCACTAAATCAAAATTTGCAGGGTTCCATCCCCATACTGGTGAACTCTTTTTTTTTTTTTTTTTTTTTTTTTTTGAGACAGAATCTTGCTCTATGGGTCAGGCTGGAGTGCAGTGACACGATCTCAGCTCACTGAACCATCACCTCCTGGGTTTAAGTGATTCTCGTGCTTCAGCCTCCTGTGTAGCTGGGACTACAGGCATGCATGCCCAGATAATTGTTTTTTTTTTTTAGTAGAGTTGGGGTTTCACCATGTTGACCAGGCTGGTCTTGAACTCCTGACCACAGTGTTCCACTCACCTCGACCTCCAAAATGCTGGGATTACAGGTGTGAGACATTGTGCCCAGCCTAAACTCTTCCAAAAAAAAAAAAAAAAAAAAAAAAAAAAGCTCTCAGTTTACTGTCAGATGTTTCAGAACCGCTGCTAAGAGACACCCCCAACCAGAGCCGCCCACCCCAACCCAGAGCCTTTGATACAACCCTTGGATAAAGTTGGTTTGACGTAGGTTTCTCTTCTTAGCAATGTCTGCAGATTATCTTTTTCCTGGGGACATGAATAAAAATGCCAAAATATTTTAGGGAGAAAGGAACCCACACGATTAAATGAACCTACTTAGCATCAATTCATACAGCACTGCACCATATATGTGTAGTATGCAACTTCCCAGTGGATTACAGCATAGCTGGGTTAGTTGTCTTCTCCTATATCAGACTGGGTCATACCAGCTCACTTGTGTCAGAGATTCAATGCTTGTTGATACAGTTCTCCCTACCTATGATTTCACCACTTCTAGACTTTAAACACAGTCTTTATCAGCCATGCTTCAGTGGCTGTGGCTGCTTCTATTTCTCTGTACTATAATATGCAGGGAAACACTGAAGCTGTAACACTGTATTTCTGTGAAATATTTGCTGCCCCGTAACTAGGAAAGCCTTTACTCTATATAGCATGATATCGAGAGCAAGGGGTGCCCAATAAAGACTTCTCCGACTCTTAACCAAGTGAACACACTTTCAGCAGGGTATGGCTGTGTTTGTTTGCTAGGATTGCCATAACAAAGTGCCACTAACCACTGGGTGCGGTGGCTCACACCTGTAATCACAGCACTTTGAGAGGCCAAGACAGCCGGATCACCTGAGATCAGAAGTTCAAGACCAGCCTGGCCAACATGGTGAAACTCTATTTCCAATAAAAATACAAAAATTAGATGGGCGTGATGGTGTGTGCCTGTAATCCCAGCTACTGGGGAGGCTGAGGCCTGAGAATCACTTGAACATGGGAGGGAGAGGTTGCAGTGAGCCGAGATCACGTCACTGCACTCCAGCCTGGGCAACAGAGCAACAATCCGTCTCAAAGAAAATAAATAAATAAATAAAATAAAAGCCACAAATAGAGTGGATTTTACTATAAAAATTTATTGGCTCACCGTTCTGGAAGTTAGAAGTTCAAATTAAGGTGTAAACAGGGCAATGCTCTCTCTGAAGGCATCAGGGAAGGATCTGTTACTGGTATCCCCTAGCTTTGGGTAGTTCTTGGCTTATGGCTACATAACTTCAATCTTCACATGGCATTCTCCCTGTGTATGTGTCAATGTCCAAAATTCCTTATTCTAGAAGGATGCCAGTCACCTTAAAGTAGAGTCCACGCTAATGACCTCATCTTGACTTGATCATCCACAAAGACCTTACTTCCAGATAAAATTACTTTCACAGCTACAGGTTAGGACTTCAACATCTTTCCAGGGGACTGAATTCAACCAATCACAACGGCTGACTCTGAATGTCTATATCCTTCCCAGTATTCCTTAGAAGAGGTTTGATAGTTATTGCATTATCAATGCTCCTCATTCCCTAACATCAGCACCCAGAATTTGAAACTGTACCTTGTGAAAGTTTGCTGTTTGCACCATTCAGGCACAGTAGCACATAATTAGTGCCCTGTTACTGGAACTGACAATACGTGCTCCAGCCATCCAGTGGAGGCACTTGAAAGACAGAATAGCAGATTCCTGAGCCACGTGGGTTCTGGCTTTGATCCTGGAAGAAGGGTATCATTTAGCGTACTCTGGAGAAGAAGTGAGGCTATGCCACGTAAAAGTAGCTAGTTTTGTGGCCCTAATAACGTAGCTGTCATGATTATGAGCCAACAAATAAACCAGATTGACAAAAACGAAGAAAGAATCGATGCAGGTAGTGTTGGAAAAGATTGGTGAGAGATTATGCAGAGTCTTCTGTGCTAGACTAAAAAATTTATGCTTGATTTTGTGAGATCTAGAGAGCCACTAGCCAGGAGGATATCTGGGAGTCATTGTTTTGGGAAGATTTTCCTTTTGATCCATGAAAGATGGGAAGCAAAGGATGGGATATCTGGAGAAGATTAAGACAATTATGTCAATAATGAAGTTGAAAAGTTACAAGCATGAAGGTTGAGAATGCCCCCTCCCCTTACCCCACCACTTGGAGGTCTTCTGCTTGTCTTCAAGACCCAGGCCAGCTGCCAGTCCACTACAAAGCCTTTCAGAGTTACTTGCTCCTTACTATTTGGTGCCATAGTCCTTAACACACATTGCCACCCTAGTGTTCACCATTTTATATTGTGAAACATCTGTCTCCACATGTCTCCACTGGACTGTGCACTTGTAAAAGGCACACATACATGCCATGTAGCCTTTATGAGTAGCACTAGACCATGAGAGATGCTCAAGAAACATCTACCGAAGCAACGGAAGGACAGACAGAAAGCCAGTTGGCTAACAGCAATTTGACTGTAGGATGAGCCAGTCAAGAATGATAGACACTTGGAACTAGAGAGGGCCTTGATGGTCATCTAACCCAGTTCCCCAGGAACCATTGTGAATCCTGGGCATATGATGACCCCACCTTATTCCATCCTGGAGCAGCTCTGGCTGTAAGAAGTGTACAGCTGGAGGGGAACTCAGAGACCACCACATTCAAAAGATAAAGAAGTGAAATTATTGGTTCAAGGTTACTCAACAATTAGCATCAAGGTTGGAGAATAGAAGAGAAACTAATATGACTAAACACCAGGCCCATCCAGTCCTCTCCACCATCCTATGGAGTGGAGGTATTACCACGTTGAAATTTACGGTTAAGGATGTTGAATAGCTTGTTTGGGATTGCCCAGTTGATAAGTGGCAGAGCCAGGATATGAGGAAATTGATCTCTTTCCACTTGCCAACACCCTGTGCCATCCCTGCATAAGTTCACAGCCTTCCTGAGACCCTATAAAACGCTCCTCTCATTTTCCAAGCAGACCCTGCCCCAGTATCTCTTTTGAAATGCGTCCCTTTTTCTCACTTGCATTATTCTTGCCTTTCAGGAGAGAAGTATGAGCTCCATGCAGGGACTGAGTCCACCCCAAGTGTCGTCGTGCACGTGTGCGACAGTGACATAGAGGAAGAAGAGGACCCAAAGACTTCCCCAAAGCCAAAAATCATCCAGACTCGGCGTCCTGGCCTGCCACCCTCCGTGTCCAACTGAGCTGCCTGCCCTGCCTCTATGATAATAGCCGTCTCCTCTTTATCATGCTTTTTCCCTCGTTGTTTGTCAAAAAAAAAAAAAATTGCCTTTAAATTCCTGGGTGTTTGGTTGTTTGAGATTCCTTCCTTGTTATCAAGCCTCTCAGACAAAAGGGCTAGGAAAAGGTGATATGTCTCCTGATCATATCATACCCATTAAGTATAACCCATTATTTAGAAGGTTCTAGGGAAAAAAGTAGTATTTTTCTTATTAACTAATCAGCACAGCCTATATCTTTGTTCTCTCATGTTGATCCAAACCAGAGACATCAGTAACAAATAGCACCTGTGTTGTTTGTGAGCTGTTTCAGTCCCAGTCCTGACATGTGTGCATTGTTGTTTCCTGGCCACTTAAATAGGACCATATGTAAACTTGACTTTGACTGCATGAGATATCCCTATCTGGTCTCACTCAGTCCTCTGCATCCCGACATTCCCAGGACATGCATGATCACCAGCATTTATTTTCATGATTTGAAGATATCCTATAACTCACAGATTGTCAGCAGCCAGCCATGTCCTATCTAGATTAGGAAATTTATCAGCATATTCCAGCTCAACAAGTCTGGGTATATTCACTATTGTGAGTCAATACACCGTAGCTCTGTTGAAATTCCCGGAGGCAAAATTGAGCTTGGCTCCAAAGATATTCCTCAATAGATTTTGAACACTGCTCCCCTGTAGAACTTTCCCAGCCTCGTTGGGGAGGCTTGTCCAGGGTGATAGAGACCGATTTCAGATGAACCTATTTATTACAAAAGTTTCATGGTGTCTGAATGATTGTTTTCTCTCTTTGTATATTTGTACAAATGTTTCAGCTGTGCTTTTAAAATCTGGATTTTTTTTTTATTTAGTGATTGTTCAACCTTTAGCTGCTTCAGAACATAATGTGCATTGCTTATGAATGCCTTCATATACTAATACAGATACTCTGATAATATTACACTCTAGTATGGATAACGCTGAATTTTGAAAGGACACAAAATATCTAATGCCAATATATACATCATTAGCCAACATCTTTGCTATCAAGACCACTTGTTTTTAAATAAAGATGCAAGTGTCAATTGTAGGTGATTGGTATGAAGCTAAAACTCCAGAATGCAGCAGCAGCAGCTGAGCATGTTAAAATGGGGAAGTATAATAGAAACATGTATGCCGGTCCTACTCACGCAATGCCCGTGTGCTCAGACAAGTTACTTGTTTTTGTTACGTGTAATTTTTCTATTTCTCTAGCCCAAAGTGCATTACAGAAGATACACCTATAGAACCATTACCTTCTGCTATATGTGCCAGGCATCATCTACTCCTGTACATTAATGACTTACTTTAGATGCAAAGGCAGATTACAGTGGAGTGGGGAATTACTTTCATTACCCAAGCCTCAGAAAAACACAGAAGAACAATAACACAGCCAATAGATTGAGGGATTGTTGTGGTTTTTGACTAAGGTGTATGTTAGTTTCATCAGAAACTTAAAACATAGACTGATCACTCAGAAATTAAAGTCCGTTTTACTGTGAATATAGCAATATAGTACTGAACACAGTACAGGTGAAACTGAGGAGAGCATTGCTTGTAAAATCCTGAGTTTCCACAAGGAAAATGAAAACTCCTTTTAAAAATAAAATCTGAGGAGTGTACAATAAGCATATGCTTTGACTTTCCTTTGCTGTGGAGGTTTTTGATGATGAAAGACTACAGACTTAATAGTGGAGAAATGGTGTCCTCTAGTGGGAGAAATAGTAGGCTCAGCTATTCAGATGCAGAGCACTGTAGCAGCCAGCCTTTCCAAGCTGACTCTTCTCAGCCATCTGTGGGGTCATTTGACATTTTAAGCTACCCTGAATTTCCAGAATGCAGGTTCTAAAAAAAATCTAGGTGAGAGAAAATGTTTGTAAATGATTTTTAAAAAGACATGTCTGACATTTTTAACAACTTAGTAAAAGTTGAAATGACCATTTTGTGTAGTCATAAAAGAAATGCAATGAAGTGTATGACCTCTGTAGTTAGTAAAACATTGCCCTGCGTCAATGTTAACTTGTTTCAGATCAAGAAACTCTTTCACTATGTTGGGTTTGGGGAGGGGCGAAAAGAGGGGCTTTCCTTAGGAGAACGATAAGAAATGGAAAGGCTCCTCGAAGTGTTGCAATGGAACTTCCTAGCACTGTGAAAGTCAGAATTGCCTCAGCATTTCCACGACGCACATTATGCAAACCTCTTTAGCACTATTTTAAGTTTGAAAAGTTTAACAATGAAGGGGAACGGGAAAATTTCCACCAACTGAATCATTTGTGCACGTGTATAGCTCAACGAGCTTAGACTTCAAATATATCTGGTGAATGACTCTTTGTCCATGTGGTGTAATTTCTGTGTTGTCGACCTGCGTTGAGTATTGTTAAGGGGTAATTGTGGAGGAGTGCATTTCAACCTAGAGTTTTTCTAAGAAGTCCCCAACATGTGGGGTTAACCCATACACCTAGGTTCTTCCTGAAAGTGGGGGAAGATGGTTGGCAGCCATCTCTCAAGGGAAGGGGGATTTGAGCAGAGCCTGAAGGGCTGGGTTGGACTCTGATGAGAGGAACTGGAAGAGCTTCCTGTATCACTGCTGTGTTTCAACATCTTGGTTCTAAAAGCCATTTCAAGTATACTAAGAAACTCTTTTAATGTCTTCCCACTCTATTCTCTCGTTAAAAACATGGTAAGAGACCTGGGTTGGCAAAAAAAATTATTATTCAGAAAAAAAGCACTATCATAATCTAAATGATTGATACATTAAATTTCATTAAAATAAAGAGCTTCTGTTCATCAGATGGCTATTAGGAGAATGAAAAGGAAGAGCATCATACTGGAAAAGGGTATTTGAGATATATGTAGTTGTCAAATAAATTATATCCAAATTAAAAAAAAAACCTACAAATCATTAAGGAAAACATAGACAATCCATTGCCTTTATCATCAAAATAATTTCAAAGGCACTTCACACATACAGGCAATTCTCACACAGACATACACAAAATGCCCAGATGATCCATTAACATTCAAAAGATGCTCAACTTCATTGCTTATCAGACAAAAGCAAATGACAATCTCAGAGATACTACACAGAGCTGTCAGAATAACTAAAATTAAGTCTGGGGAAATATTAAGTACTGGTAAGGATATGAAGGAAGAGGAATTGTCATGCACCACTGGTGGAGTGTCACCTGGTACTGCCACTTCACAGCACTGTTCTGCTAAAGCTAACCCGCCTCTCCGGGAGCAATTCCACTCCAGGGCATGCACCTGGCAGATACAAGTGCTCACACCTATCAAAATACTTCTACAATAATGTCCTTAGCAAAGTTGTTTGTCATAGCCATTAACTGGATACAACCCAAATGTCCTTCAACTGTAGAATAAACTGCTAACCTCACACAAAGGAATGTTGCAAAGCAGTAAGACACATAAACTGGTGGTACATATAGGAACGTAAGTGGATCTCAAAATCATATTTTGAGCAAAACAAAAACTAGACATGAAAGAATATATAATGCATGCCTCCTTTTAGCAAGCTAAGAAACTGTCAAAACTGGCCAATATGAATAGAAATGATAATGGTGAATGTTATTTAAAAAAACTTAGGACTGTAAGGTCCCTTATCCCCACTCCCAAACTAAGAAGGTGCTAAGAGTCCAAAGAATGACTCAGACAAGTCCAATGTGAGGAGCAGATGAGTTTATTAGGACTTACATACAAGGCACTTCTGGATGGTGGCAAGATAGCTCTAGAGACCTGTTCTGCCTTCCATCCCTAAACTGCTTTCAAGCTAATTTTCTGGTGCTTTGCCTACTGTGTTTGAACAATGAGACTGCTTTTCTTGGTAGGTCCTCAGATACTCTCTATTTGGGTTCTCAGGGACACCTGTTCCTCAGCTCTGCACCAAGGTCTTCGCTCACTGCCTGGCCTTCCAAGTTCAGGCAGCAGACTTACACCCTTCAGTAACCTGGTGGGGGACCTGTCACTACAGTGGCCACCTTTTGGAAGGTACTGACTGAGAGAAACCCTCTCATGTGGAAGCCTTCCAGGGTGCCGTAAATATTCTACATCTTGATCTGGATCTCCATATGGATGTATACACATGTAAAATTTATTAAAATATGTGTCATATGCTACAGACAGTTATACCTCAACTAATACAAAAGCTGTTCTCCCTGAGAACGGGGAAGAAGGAACCTTTAGTTGTGACGGGGGTTTAGAACGTCCTCATACTAAAAACATAAGTCTCCCATCTTATGTCTGTGAGATATTTCTATATATTCAAAGCCTTCGTTTAAAATCTGTAAATAAGTGTGCCTTTTTAAAAGAGAGCACAGGACTTACGCATCGGGTGAAACACTGTTCATTCAAGTAACAAACTGTGTGCCTGACACTGGGTTTTCCATGGTGAACAAGGTAGCTTTTGTCTCTGCCATTTCAGGGAGTGGAGTCTAGCATGGAAAAGAGATAAGAAATAAGCATATAATGGCCACAGATTCTCATAGGTGAGTGCAGAGAAGAAAACCAAAAGTACCCTATGAGAATAGAGAATAAAAGTGGAGGATCATAGTCGGTGAAGGGCCATCTAAAGAGGTGACATTTAAGCTGACCTGGAGGCACTGGCTACAGAAGTGCTGCTAGAAAAGCATTCCAGGCAGCAGGGCTTAAAGGCCATGACTCTGGAAAGGCCTCCTCTCATCGTGTTGGGGGAGCCTGAAGGATGTTGGTATGACTGAGGCACAGGGAGTGAGGGCGAGCACTGTTTAGGATGAGGTTGGAAAGCAGGCAGGGCCCAGGCTCGGTGGAACTTATTATTAATAGATCAGGCTAGGGGGCTTCAGGTTCATTTTAAGGGTTTTCAACAGGGAATTATATGACACCCAATTTTTCTGGTAAATCCTTTTTTTTTTTTTTTTTTTTTTTTTTTTTTTTTTTTTTTTTTTTAAGCCTACAGCACCCGGTAATCCCAGGCGGTCTCCCATCCAAGTACTAACCAGGTCCGACCCTGCTTAGCTTTCGAGATCAGACAAGATATGGGTGCATTCAGGGTGGTATGGCCGTAGACTGCCTGGTAAATCCTAAAACAAACAGGAAGTTTCCTAACACAAAGCCACAGCCCAAAATGTCCAGATACTCTATAGCGTCAGGGCTTGACCCCTCTTACCCATTTATAGCTTTCAGTAGCTTCGTGCTCCTCACTGAAATCTTATGTGTTAACACCAAGTGAATTCTCAGTATCCAACATCAATACGTAGTGTCTTGTTGTGGTTCTGAAGTTTTTTTTTTTTTTTTTTTTTTTTTTTTTTTTTTTTTTTTCCCCTCCTCACATCATTTAGAAAGCCTCAGTGCAGAAAGGTGGGGAACAGAGCAAGTGACAAAGGATGATAAGTCAGTGATTCAGGGAAACATTCATTTAGCTGCTGGTACAGAGTGTCCCTGCCAGAAGCCACCATGCTGAGCGTCATTGAACATTTGGCAGCGTTTCCCCTTAAATTTATGCAAAGGGAAAGGGAAAATTTCAAGCAAAAAAGTTTTCTGTCAAGCTCATTCATCTGCACCTTTCAAAGAAAGTCTGGGGGAATGTTATTGGAGTTGATTCATGAGCTTTTTATGTCTCTAAAAGGAAGCCATGTTTAAGGTTAGTCGTGTGTATGTGTACGCAAGCACATTTGGCATAGGGTGGAAACAGGAAACCCAAAATAGGCAGAAATGGATGAAACACTTTGTGCTAAAAAATTCACTCACAATAGCTCCTTGGTTCTTTTGTGTTATTTTCCATTCTTACCTAATAATTGAGTTAGAAAACTTTTAGGGTTGGGCAGGACTATGAGGCCTCCTTGATCAGTCGCCATCATTAGGAAAATCATTACTGTTCCCTAAACAGTCTTTGGGTTTGCCAGTGGGGTATTTTATTCTTAAAGCAAGATTTATAGTTTCCCTACAAAGTTGCCAAGTTCAACACCTTGATAATCTATCAGATGTGCTGTTGTGGATGCTGTAGTGAGCCCCAGCTCCCCACTTCGGAGTGGCCAGGCATTGCATTCAGCTAGAGAGATGCTCCACACCCAAGGTCTCACCCTCCTTGGGGACAGCCCACATCCAGTAACTAATCAAGGAAGGCCTTCCCTTGGACCACTCCAGCTCCAGAGCTATCCCTGTGCCATAGGCTGAAGCTGGTATCTTAGTTCAACTCTGCTCTAACCTACTGCCTTTATCTCCAACAGGTGAGGACTCTAAAGTCTCCCAGTTTAATTTCCTGCATGTACATCTCCCTCTCAGTGTCTGGGTCCTGGAGAAACAAGTCTAACACATACATCATCCTCAATAGCCTTCTTTTATCACATTGAGCACTCTGGAATTGTAAAACTCTTTTTCATCAATCATTGCTGTTTCATTCTTCATATGGATTGGTTATGCTAGGGTTTAGCAGCTTTTCCAAAAGCAGCACAAAAAAAGTTCTTCATGCTTTCTTTGTGTTGTCCTGCTGAGTTTAGGTGGCGGATAGGTAGGGTAGACATATAGGTAACTTAGCACAAAGTTACTCAGTGGAGAAAGGAGGCTTCTCCCAACCATCCCTGTGGCGTGAGGACAATGCCTGTTCTGCTGTTGTCAGGGGACTTCATTAAAAACACAGGTCTATAACAGGGAAGGCAGAACCCACATTCTGGCCCATGTGCCTCCTCAGCCCATCTCAAAAGATGTCACCACTTCCTGTCAACCTTGTATATGAGAAAAGGATGGGGACTGTGTGTGTGACTTTAGACAAGTTACTAAAGTCCCTACAACTCAGTTTCTTCTCCTGTAAAATGGGCATAAAAATCTACCTTTATCATGAGGACTTAATAAGTTAATAACAGTAACAATTATTATTGGCGGGCTGGTTAATGCCTACATTCACAAGTTTTGCTGCCACAGGGCCTGGGCTTAAATCTCAGCTCCACTGCTTAGTACACTTGTGTTCTTGGACAAGCTTTTTTTTTTTTTTTTTTTTTTTTTTTTTGAGATGGAGTTTCACTCTTGTTACCCAGGCTGGAGTGCAATGGCGCAATCTCAGCTCACCGCAACCTCCGCCTCCTGGGCTCAGGCAATTCCTGCCTCAGCCTCCTAAGTAGCTGGGATTACAGGCACACGCCACCATGCCCAGCTAGTTTTTTGTATTTTTAGTAGAGACGGGGTTTCACCATGTTGACCAGAATGGTCTCGATCTCTCGACCTCGTGATCCACCCGCCTCGGCCTCCCAAAGTGCTGGGATTACAGGCTTGAGCCACTGCGCCCGGCCTGACAAGCTTTTTTAACCCAAGTTTTGGTTTGCACGTCTATCAGATGTAAAGGA